AACAGGTCAATCAAATTCAAGATAATTTAAAACAAAAATTAGAAATTTTAGAACAACTAATAAGATCTTAATTTATGAGCAGTGATAAAAAGGCTAATAGAGACTACCAGATTATTTTAAAACAAGTAGAAGACTTTCATAATAACCTAGAGGGAATCAGTAACTATCAGGGAATAAATCAATCAGATAAAATAACATAGATAAAAAATAAATTTCGTTGTAATTTTGAAGGCACTTTTACACATCAGCTCCATAACGAACATAATTCTCAGCTAAATAGTATCATAGATCATCAGATTAATTTTGTAGAAAATATTAAAAATGGCGTAGATAAAATTAGTAATCTCTTTACTTCATCTATAAACCATCTTCATAATACTCGTAGTATAATTAAAGCTCAAGATAAAAAATTAGATTATATCCCAGATCAGTGTGTAAGGGTTTTGTCTGCAAACTTGATGACACAAGAAATCTCAACTAAATTTGGCTTGGGTATAACAGGGTAATTAAATGGTAAATATGTATTATCTAACAATCTAAAAATTTTGCTCATCTTTTGGTACTTAGTTTACGCTCATTAAGTTTATTATGAAATCTAACTATAGCTTCACAGTTTGTTCTAATCGTAAAGGGCTTGTGTAAAAATAATCTAAATTTGTTTATTGCATATACTATTCCTAATAATTTCATCCTTATTTTTAGTGGCTATAAATAATTTTTAAAAGTTAAAAAATATTTTTTTGACATTGATTTTTATCAAATTAGTTTATATTTTATCAAATTGATAATTTTGCCCTTGAAATTGAGTAATAGTATCTTCAATTGTCCTTATTTGGAATAAGATTTAAAATTCAGGGTCAAATGTGTTACAACTGAAAAGTTACCAAAGTGAAACAAGGCCCAAACTATAGGGACCATTAGTGTAATTCGCCCAAAACAAAACATGACCATTCCTAACAACACTCGAACCGATCTTAAAAAAATAAATAATAAGAGATGCACACATGGTGCCTCCATATTCTACTAACATATTGCATTTATTATACCCTAATTTTATTACCAACTCTTAACTTTTTTTTACTCCATTTATTTCTCTCTCTTTGTGTGAAGGAAATTACTCAAACCATTTGAGAGGGTAATTTATAAAGAAAAATTAGGCCGAGCTATGATCCTTTAATCTCTGTTTTGGGCCGGACTAAGGGCCGAGGTATGGGCTTCGAGTAGCTCGGTCCCATGTTGTCTAGGTACCAAACTGGGCAGAGGGGTTTGACCGAGCTACCTAAAAATTAGGCCTGGTGGCTGACCGAGGTGTTTGTAAGAAAGAAGGTCGAGCTAAGTGTAGCTCGATCGAATGTCATCTACATCATTGCTTAGGTGAGAGCATGACCGAAATAATCTAGCTCGGTGAGGTTGCACCAGCTTAGACAAAGGAAAAAACCATCTTACTTGGTTGGTAGTAAGTAGAGTGTTATCAAAATAGACACTCTTCACTAGGAGTGTGATTCCTAAGAGGACTACTAAAAAGAGTTGAAGTCCTACTAGGATTGTGTCAGGCAGAATCTACAAAAGCTCATGACAGGACCTATGTACAGATATCACAATTTCTACTCTAAAAAACACAGAGCTTTTTGTCTATTGTCTATTTGCTGACTTAGACATCGGAGAGGTATCTGGCACACACTTGCCGGCTAGCTCACATTTGTGTTTTCAAGAGGTAAAGCGACGACGTTTGAAGGAGTGCAAACTTGATCAACAAGATTATACGAGAAGATTATTTCGTACTTGTACACCATCAACCCCAGCTTAGGTAGTATTTGATAAAATTAAAAATTAATTGTTAAAAATTAAATGTTAAATTTTTTAAGTTGAAAAAGTTATTTGATAAAAAATCAAGTGTTGACCGATAAAAAAATGTTTAATATATACAAGATCAAATTTGAAAATTTTTATATTCAAATCGTATGTCTTATAATTTTTATATTGTAATGGAAAGCGGTAGAGGAGGCAACAATAATGTTAATTATGACGCTAATGGCAATAGTAATAGAGATTAAGGGATGGTGATTGTAGTGATGGTAGAAGGGTAATATTGTGGAGATAAAAAAAAAAATAAAAAAAAAATAAAAAGGGTAAATTACAAACACACCCCCTGAGGTTTAATTAAATTACAAATTATTCCATGTGGTTCTAGAAACTATATTATGTCCCTTAAGATTTCTAATTTTATAACAAATAGGTCCTTTTATTAATAAATCATCAAGTTAATTAACAATTTTTAATAATGTTAAAATTTTATTTCAATTAATAATTCAGATAATTCTATTATTGTATAGGTGCACAATTAGAAATTTCACTTTTTTAATTAATTCTATTAAATAAAAAATTTTGATAGGGAGGTATTTGTAATTTTTCAAACTATAGGGACAATTTGTATTTTAAGCAAATTTTAAGGGATGTATTTGTAATTTATCCAAATAAAAAAGGTGGCAATAGTTGTGGAATGATGGTGGTCAGTGCAATGTTTATGGAGGTGAAGAGTTGTAGTTATTATTTTAATGGTAATAGTAATGGCAGTAGCGACGGTGGTGGTGGTGTGGTGGCGACAATGTTGATAGTGGTGATTGCAATGGTGGTCTAGTGATGATAGCGGTGGTTGTGGTGGTGGTACTAATGCCAACAACGACAGTGTTAATAAAAGTGGTGATAGTAATAGTGGTGATGGCAATGACAACAATAATAATGGTGGTGATAGTAAGCTTATATAATATATGACAATATTTATATTTAATATTTATAAAATTCAATAAGAATTAAATAAATTTAATCAGTGGCAGACCTAGGACTACGGATACCATGGCCCCTTAGGTTTTGAAAAATTACACTACTACCTCTGTTTTTGTAAGTATTTATAAAATATATTATAGAATTGTCTCTTAATTTTTTAAAAATTATTTTACCAACTTTATATTTCATTATTATTTTACAATGTATAATGAAATGATCTCTATCTATTTTGTATGCTACTTAAATAGCATCAATATGATGTACTCAGTTTTATTTATACAATTAAATGTATGCCACTTCTTTTTATTTAAAAAATATATAAAAACTACCCATACTTTTATTTACTAGATATTGTTAATTAATAAAATGGCTTTTCATTAGCTTTAGAAAATATTTTTTAAAAAAAAAAACTGTTAAATGTTTTTTTTCTTCTCATAAAGTAATTTTTTTACAACCTTTATGTAAAAGTAATAATATATTAATAATGTACCAAAATTTTATTTTTTTTTTTATTTATTCTATCACCTTGGCCTCTTGAACATAAGTTTTGGTTCCACCGTGAGTTTCATATTACTCAGGGTTGTTTTGGAAAGATAGTAAAAAGTGACTTTTTAATTTTTAACTAAGTTTTTTTACTTTTTTAGACAAATGATTTGAGAAGTTGGTAAAAAGTGACTTTTGATTTTTTTGATTAATATTTGTTTATGATGTCAAATCATAATAAAATGACCAAACTACCCCCATTTATTTAAAATATTTACAACTTCACCTATGTAACACATTTTGACCCATGAAGGGTAAAATTATAATTTCACCGTTGGCTAAAAACCAACTTTCCAAATGAAAAAAAAACCAAAAAAGTCAACTTTTAGCTTTTGCTACTAACCAAAAAAAGTGACTAAAAATTATGTTGCCAAAATAAGCCTAAAAAATACTTAAAATTTTTAACCTACATTTTGTGAGACATTTATTTTTTTTTAAATCATCAATTGTGATTATGAAACTGATTTAATTAATTATCACTTAATATATGTAATTTTAAATGCTGAATTAAGTTATTAAACAAACTAGAATCTATTCTCTCATTTTACAAAGTGAATTTTTTCTCAATAAAAAAAAATTATATAATGAAGTGAACAAAATTTGAATATAAAGTTTTAAGTCTGATAAACAATACCCTTATCACTTGAATTACACAAACAAACTATATATATATATTTAATTTAAAATTAAAATTTATATTTTATAAATTTAAAAATATACCCATCAAGTGAACAGACACTACGCCGACCTTCTTCCTCTCCCTCCCTTCTCTTTCTCCTCTCCCTCTCTTTCTCTCCCTCTCCCTCTCTCTCTCTTCCTCTCGAGCCATTTTCGAGCCTGGTGAGCTACCAGACATTTCCCTTTTATTTTTTAAATTATAAAATAAACTGGCCTCCCAACCCGTTTTGTTGCCGAATATGATACAAACACGGGCAGGGCGGACGCGCCCGAACCGTTGTGACATGGAAGCGATAATCTATGCCGTACACGTGTCTTCACGAACCAACCTTCGGCCACTGATATTCCAACTCTCTTCGACCTAGGGTTTTGAAGCCCTACTCCATCCGCTATATATAACACAAAACCCCCAATCCCAATCTATGGCTTGGCTGCTCCGTTTTCATAATCTCTTCTATCTCCTCTAATTGGGGTTTGATTTCTCTTCTTCTCAGTAATTTTTTTTTGTTTTGTTTTGTTTTGTTGTCTGCTAGGAGTTATGCGTCGAATACTGATTACCAGCACTCTCTCTGCTAAAGAAGAATGGGTGTTGTGTATGAGCCGACGCCATATTTGTCGCTGCTCCGATTCTGCCTTGAACCCTAACTTGTTAGGGGAACTCTTGAAATGAGTCCATTAGAATCAGATTCGGAGAAATTCTTTATATATATGTATGTATATTTTAATTTATTGTTTTGAGCTTGAAACATTGTATGAGATTGATGGAAGTGATGAATATTTCCCCAGATGATCGAAACTGAAATTAACGAGCGCTATTCTCTTTCAGAGAAAAATCCAAGCCAGGATATTCTGATCCATCTCTCTTTTTATATGTACATTTATGCGTGTATATATACATATACCTAATCTAATGCTTGTGGATTCTATTTTGATCCGTTTCTGTTGTGTTTTTACTGGATTTTTGTTGATAAGTAACTGAATAAAAAATCATTTCGATGGAGGTGATGATTATTTCCCCAGATGATCTACGCTGAAATTACCGAGCGCTCTTCTCGTTTATCGAGAAAGTCCAAGCCAGGATATTCTGATCCATCTTTTCGATTTGATAATTCTCAATTCTTGATTTATTAATTAATGCGATCTAATTTTTATTTTTGGAATTTTTTACAATGAAAGTAGGTAGTTATCTTTGTGTAGGTAGGTGACGATTATGATGATTTGGGGCAAACTTAAAAATGTTTGTAAATTCCAATGATTAATCGTCGCAAATAAACCCAACTTCAAAATTGAGCAGTTGAGGCTCCTTTTTATCATTAGGAGAATCCTGCATTTGAAGGGAGGCTTTCATATCCTATCGCCTTGGGTAGCAGAGTTTCTGCCATTATCTCTTGGGATATGCCATGAGAATTACATTACATACTCTTCAGATATATATGTCAATTACAATTATAAACATTTATGCCTTTCTTTCGTGGCTTGTGTCGTTTTCTCTATGCAGGTTGGTGCTAGCCTAGCTTATGGATGCTTGCATCTTTGGGGATGATTAAGGGTTTAGTTTTTTTGTTTGAGTTTTAGGCCAGCTTAGGGAGGTTCTGTCCACTCGTTCCTGTTAATGTTGTTTTCATCTATACGCTTTTTTGTTTGTTTAGGTTTTTTTTTTTTTTTTTTTTTTTTTTATAGTCTCCCCTTATTATGTTCTGTTTTTTTATATCAGTGAAGTTCTTCATTCTGCCAAAAAAAATTGTGACAGTAAGTGATTTTTTTTTTTATCAATCATCTTTGCCAAAAAAAAAAGGGTAACAATGATGGTAATTCACTCTTTCATTCATTTACCAATAACAAAGTGATGAAATTTGCTTATTTCCTTGTCATTGTGAAACTGAATTCATTTTTGGATTTATTTATGTGTTTTAAATCAAAGTTTTAAAAATTGGACAGACGAGTAAATTAGAAAAGAAATTAGACAGATGTGTTATTGGTTCAACTATTAGTTGAATTGGAATTGAACAAATATATTAAAATTATATTTAAATAAAAATAAAAATAATAAAATTATAAATTTAAAAAAAATGAAAATTTTGAATTATCTTAAATATTTTTCACTAAAAAATATAATATTATATTTTAAAATAATATTAATTTTAATTTTTGTAGAGAAATTTAAATATTTAATATTTGTTCTATATGATTTTAATTTAAATAATTTAATTGAAAGAAGAGCAAAAATTTTAGAGGGATGTCAAAATTTCAAGTATTCCTCCAATAAATTTGATTGACTTAAAAAGAATAAAGATTTTTTAATCAATGTTATATATATAATATATATATCTATATGTATATATATATACATATATCTATAGATATAAAATTAGAAAGAAAGAAAGAAAAGAAAATTAAAAAAAAAATAGTTAGAAAATATTAACAAAAAATTAAAATTTTTAATTTTATCAACCCGGCAGTTTGCCTAACCTTGTCTCTAGGTCATTTGATTTGACAGTTTAATTGTCAGTTTTATCGGTTTGACGAATGGATGTGAATCGATTTGGCAGTTTAAAATTTTATAAAATTTTAACATAATTTGAAATTTTAGAATATCATAATTACTGCATGTCTTATCCACATACTATAATCACAGCATGTTTCATTTACATATTTTATTTTTAAAATATAAAAACAATTCAAATCACGTGGTTCTTAAAATATAAAAATAATTCAAATCACCAAAATTATAAACAGAGTAGTAGTAGAGATTGTATATTTTTGTATTGTTACATCTATATCTGTTTTTAAAAATAAAAACTAACCAGTATATATCATATTTTTTATTTATTATTTTTAGAGATAGATTTAAAAATTAAAAAATATAGATAAATAATACGTTTATTTTTTTCAATTCAAAAAAGATATTCAAGTTGAATTTTTTTTTTCAACAGAATATTTAAACTTTTTTTTAATTAAAAACATAAACTAAATATTTAAACAAACTGAAAATACAAAATTTTATAAATTATTAGGAGTGCTCGCGGTTTGGCGACTCGGTTGCGGCCAAGGAATCTCAAATCCGTCATCCGTCTGCCAGATTGGCGGATTGGAGAAAATCAATCCGCAACCATTCGCTTATCATCACGCATCTGTCCAAAATGCAGTGGATTGGTTCGGTTCGGTCGATTTTGACAGATATATCGGTTCGGTTCGGTCGGTTTTGACGGATTGATATATCCGCTGTTCACCCCTTAGCCCATTTTGGATCTGTCAACTATAAAAAAAAAATACAAAAGGATAAAATAAGCTTAAATAAGATAAAATATTACATTTAACTCAGTTATTATATTTTTTTTTTCTTATAAAAATTTAAAAAGTCAAAAAAATTCAAATCAAACGAGGCTAAAAAAGTTTTTAACACAAAAAAAGTTAGTTATATTAGCTAATACCAAACAAAACTTTAAGGATCACCATTATAAAGTTTAAATTGAAAAAATAAAAAAAATAATTAAGGCTTCATTTGAAAAGTGGGTTGATTTTTTGACTTTTTTTGCTATTTTAACCTGGGCTAAAAAGTTTGGTTTCGGAAAAGCTTTTTGATTTTTTTGGCTTTTTTGTGAGAGAATAGTGTAATGATTATTGATTGGATGTGATATTTTGTTTATTGTGACTAAAATAACTTATTTTGTCTGTGTGTTAAAAATAGCCAAAAAAATCCATAAACCATCTTCCCAAACGAAGCTTAAATAGATGAAAGGGAGAGTTAAATGTTGCAATTTTTAATTCAGTAGTACAGGACAATAGTTATGGGAGGGGGTAAAGTGTAATTTACCCTACTATGTTAAACATAAATAGTATGTTTGGTTTGGCTTTATAAAGTGATTTTGAAAAAAAAAAAATTTTAAAAACTTCTCTGGTTTGTAATTTTTTCAAAATAATTTTCAAAATCACTCTTTCTTAGACATCAATCAATTACTTTTTCTCTCTCCTTCTAAGTTAATTTTTTCTCTCACACACATCTACTCAATTACAACAAAATATTAAATCATTTCAAACTCCCAAACTCTAAAACTATTTTCAAAATACACAACCAAACAAATCAAAAAAAATTCTAAACTCTCTCTCCAAAACAATTTTAAAAAATTACTCTCTCAAAACCAAACCAAACCAAACATACCCTTTCTGGGATAAATTAAATACTTATAATAAGACTGACTCATAAGTTCTCCATGTTTATAGGCCCTTGCTCTGGTCATAGGAATCTACTGTGTGATTATTGCAAGTTCAAACAATAATTCATTTTTTTCTTAATTTAAGTTGTTTTTCTTCCTAAATAAAAAAATATGCATATCAAATAGTTGCCATAACTCTTTAAAAAAAATCATAGTAGTTAACTCTGGCTAAAAAAGGTAGAAAAAATGATTGAGAGTTCTAATAAAGAAATTCTAATGAGCTCTAATAGGAGTGGATCCTATTATGATATTATGTTTTGACCTTAATTTTATTTTATTTTATTTTTTTTATTCTCTGTCACATTATTAGAGTTTCAAAATTAGAGAGATTTATCATTTGCTCAAAGGGTAGTACAATTCCTATTGATGAGTCATAACATAACCACCCAAATTAGTGTACGTGATGGTTGTGGTGAAGGCTTGCGGGTGTTGGTCCCTCATTTTGATTTGCGTAAAACATTTTGATTTACCAACAATGGCTCTCAAAGTTTGGAAGTTGAACTAACCACTAGTGTTTCTCAACTTAATTCCCCCAAAGTCCAACCACATCTCATCAAACTCATATTAATCTTTCCAAATCAGTTGTGCCTTTCAACATTTGTTCTCTATAAAATACCCTATTAATGCATGTTCTCTTCAACACACAACAAACTTGTTTAGTAGAGAGCCCATCTCCTTCAAAACTTTCTACTCCAATCAAACAATAATGGCAGCTTTTCATAGTTGTTTGGTTGTATCTCTGATCATGGCATTATCACTTTCAAGCATCCAGGCAACCATGGCGGCTCGGGCTGCTCGCCAACTACTGCAGACAACGGTGCCTTCAATCCCATCTCTGCCGAAAGTCACACTTCCTCCATTGCCTACAATGCCGACCATCCCTCAAGCCACATTGCCACCATTGCCGACGATGCCTGCTGCCCCAACCTTACCAAAAACCACATTGCCGCCTTTGCCAAGCACCCAAATTCCATCATTGCCAACTACCATGCCCACACTTCCTAAGGTGACTCTGCCACCATTGCCAGCTGCTTCACTACCCACCATCCCAACAACAATTCCTTCATTCCCAACCATTCCTACAACCATGCCATCAATTCCTTTCCTCTCACCACCACCATCTAATTAACTAGTCCTGAGCTGAGCTGAGACACCAACATCCTAATCATGCCCACAACTCCTTCTCTCACCACCGCCATTAACCACTAGCCTGAGTCTATATGCCACCATTTCTCATTCATTTATTATGAATAAGTTTGATTCATTGGTATTTTGGCAGTTTGAATCAGTTTATAGTTTAGAGTCAGTTTTCCTGCTTGTATGGATTTCAGTTGTTATTTTGTACAATTTTGCACTTCTGTCAGGGTTTGTTGTTTATGTATGGATATCATTATTTGTGTTGATCATGGCAATGATTTAACCAAAGTCTTCAACAAGCATAATCATCAAACCAATATGAACTCAAATAAATAAATCAAAAATTTTCACATTGAATTATGAGTAATTATCATGGTTGAATCATTTTCAGAAGAGAATTTGTCAATTTCCTTAGAACAATAAGCAATGCAGTCAGCTAGGGTTTTCTTGTACCCAAGTCTCCACTGAACTGCCAATTTCCATCTATCCATGTATCTCCTCATCTGCCTCGATTGAAGTAAATTTACACCAGTCTCTCCATTGATCAGACCCTTGGTTTCTGCAAAGACACGAGCCTCGCCTTCAAATGCTGACAGTAGTCTCTCAAGCTCTGCGGGAGTACAAAAATCTTGCATTTTGTCAATGGTGCGGAGGAGTAACTTGTCTTCCTCAATTGATGTAACAAATTTGTTCAAAATTACATTGCAGTTCTTCACTATCCATCCCATGACAATTATCTCGTTCTTCGCTGATAGTTGAGATCCTGAATAAACAAGGTGTCCAACAGACCGCCTCTGGCTTGGAGGGGTTAACCATAACCGCAGAGCAGAGAGTAGGGTGAAGGATGGCTTCCCATTTGGGTGAATGTATAGTGAGTCCTTGGGCCATGAGCACAACGAATAAATTTCAGGTTCTAAGGGAATAAAAGCCTTATCATTTGGGTTTTTATCTAGAAGAAACCCGTAGTGCTCAAGAAGCTCCAAATTTGTGTATGTCCCGTAGCTTAGAAGGACCTGCAAACAAGAAGCCAGTATAACTGCCCTATACGCCAAACCAGAAATATTTTCAGGTAAAAAAAAATAAAGAAAGGCAAAATGGTGTGCAAATGTCTCGATGAATACAACTTCAACCCTAAAAAACTAGACATGAAACTAAGCCACTTGGAACTCGAAGTACAGACCTATTATAAGGTTGAGCAAAGTAGCAGCCAAAAACTAGCATGTGGTTCTTATTTTATCCTTTCATATCCTATAAGGTTTAATAAATTATTAACGTGTGTTTGTTTGGGTGGACATGACCTTGGGATTGGACTAATAATCCAACAAAATAAATAATCTCACATTTGGCTAAAAAATTGAGGTCTGGATTAGTAGTCCATCCGGACATGGTATCCTGCATATGGAGGACTATTGAAACCAAAGGAAGGGGTGGGATACACAATTGAAGGATCAAAGGGAAGTACAGATTAACTAGTGTTGAAATTATAAAAAAAATCCTGGCTATGTAGTTGCTTCTCCTTCATGTAATACATGATTTTAATTGTTCGTTAGATTGCCAATGAAAGATACCTTCTGTTGCTGTGCTACTATAAAAGTGATTCTTGTATGTTCATTGTGTAAATCTCAAACAACAGATCAAGTGACTAATTAAATTTTTAAAAATATATTTAATTATGTCATAACATATATATATTTTACATAAACTGTTTTGTTTGTTTGTTTTTCCTTATAGATTTTTTTTTTTTTTTTTAATGTAAGGAACTGTCTTTTATTTAAAAAGAAATTGTTTCACTGTTTTTCAAGAAACACATTTGTTTTTAAAATAACACAAATTGTTTTTAATAAAACAGAAAAACTGAAAGAAAAAAAAAAGCCCGTTTTTTTTAATAAAATTGGAAAATTGATATTTTACATTTTTAATAAAACAAGAAAGTAGGGAAGCTGATTGAGAAGAGATTGAATTGATCACATTTGTTATGTTTGTTAGGAGTTGTTAAATGTCAAAATTGTACATAGGCATGTCTTTAAAAATAATAAATGATGGAGCAAAAAAAATTCTCATAAATTATAACAGGGTTATTATGGCTACTACACCATGTATTTACTATTATATCCATTCCAAACCCCTCTCCCTCCTAATCCCAGGCCAATCCAAACATGAAATAGGATTTACTATTCAAAAGAATTGATAATCCCCGAACTAACAGCCCAAGGATAGTAATCTCATCTAATCCAATCAGTTCAACCAAGCATAGCCTTAGAGTAGGACCAAAAATATTTCAAGGCCTGTCTTATTATCATCTCCAGATTTATGGCACTTTCTCAGGAATTCTTTTATTTCGTTTGTAACAGCTGCTTCCTAGGATTTACCTTTTGTTTGTTTTAGCCACTAGTGCTGAATGCCAATCAATACTTCCTCTGCATTTATCTTAATTACATAAAGTTCCAATTTGTTAGGGATTTTAGGTGAAAGCTTTTGTTTATCTAGGATAAGTTATAGATTGTTGCTTAATGCTATCCCAAAAAGCTGGCTGTCACATTTTCTCAATATCTACACATGTAACAAACTGTTTTGCCTTAACATTGAACCTTTAGGATAATGTAAACATGAAAGTCAATTATGATTTATGATATCTTCAAAACATTCATGTTGTAGTTCTACCAAAGTTCATCTTCACAGGTGAAATATACTTGACAGGAGCAAGACATTAAGCATATATGAAAATAATCAACTTCATGAAATTATAAAACCATAAGATCAAGCCCTTCTGAAGTTAACATCAAAATAAGAAGCTTCGATGGTCTCCTGATATGGCAACCTAGTGTAGAGGACAATTGAGGTTAAGTCATTATAAGTTACATCCAATATCATGAATCACTAATGGATGGAGATGTGGAGCATGCTAACAAGACAAATGAAAAACCTGAAATCTACAAAGTCAAGAGCTCAAGACATTGTCTAAAAAAGGATTGGTTGAAATTGAAGTCTGATTTTCTGTTTGTTGTTAGCTTGCTGCTAACTTAGTTTGTTTTTCAATGTTTCAGGAGTTATTTGAATTTTTGTAATTTCCAAATTTGCTAGACATGGGCTGTCGTTGTGGTCCACAGGTTGTACAATGGGTCAATTTTTGTTTTTGAGTCTCAAATGTGGCCTATTTAGGTTATGGATATTCTAATTGTTCAAAGTTTCTTTGTTTTTTTTATTTGTAGTGTTAACCTAGTAGAATTAGGAGAAGCACAATCACCTATAATATTCATGTACTCATCTTCTTATTTAATGCAGTTGAACTTTGTTAACTTGTGAGAAGCTTTTAAAAGCATTGTGCGATGTTTAATGCAACATTACCATCAAAGGCGATCCCTGAAATTTTCTGATTGGGATTCTTAGATTCTTCTTTCCTCTCAAGTTCACTTTCTCAAATTACTATTCACAGGTCTAGAACAACCCTCTTCTATCACCAAAACTTGCTACTATCAAGATCTTTTAGCCCTAACCCTTTCTCCTCTCTTTTGGCCTATAATTAACATCTTAAACCTTAAGATACATGCCATCTAGAATTTTCAGCAAGCTATTTACTGAAAATTCAGTAACTCTTCTCCTTTAAAACCAAGCCTGTTCTGAGCCCTTTCTATCTACAAACCCTACAATTTTTATACCCACCCTTTCAAAGCCCAAATGTACAGATGTTCAATAACTTTAGCCCACCACAAAATCAACTATAAATGGCATTATTATAAGTTTCCTTGTGCTACATCGGACGGTGACATTAATCATGAGACATCTACGACAGGGTGAACACACTGCTACAACTCCATCAGCACTAAAATGATGAGAACAGTGTTGACTAATCTGATCACAAGCTAGATTCACCTCACTTAACTTTCCTAAAGGATAATCAGTTGATTAAAGTAGAGTTAATGTCTCCCACACATAAGCTATCATTCAGTTTGCACAAAATATAATGCTTTTTTTTTTTAAATCCTTTAAATTCATAAGTATCTCTCCAATAGCTTCAAAGAAAATGAAGATCTACCCTAGTTCATCAACTAAAATAATCTCGTAAGAAAATAACATGGATCATGGGACTTCTACCCAAAACTTCCTCGTAAGTTCTTTTATGAGAAAGCTAAAAGTAAAAAAGCAAAGCCGGTCCCTTAATGCAAGCCTATTGGTATTTATTTATTCTTTTTCCATTAAATTGTTCAATCACTCATTGTACACATTCTTTATCAAATCAATATATCTAAGTTTGTGTTTGATAAGTATCACAACAATATATAAGTATCTAACCTATACCCCTTTTCTAAATCTAACGACTAGCCTGAGTAAAAACTTCATCTGTTCAAATTCAGCTCCTTTTGCCACAAAACTTGCAAGTCACACCTTCATTCAGACTACACTCTACCACAAGCAGCTCTCAGTTAATCGCATTTTTGGTTACTCCTACAGAGTGTAAGGCATAATAATATCATTAACAGTAAGACAATCATTTGTTAATACTTCAACAATTGCAGAGTTAACGCATTCAAATTTCATTTGAGACATCTCATGTCACTCCTATAAATGTTCAACATGTCGGAAACACTATTTGGAAGTCCTGATTGACATTTGACCAGTTACTTCACAGGCTTAGATTTTCAAACATATGTGTACACAATCTATACTCTAAATGATATACCAAAACCAGGGCCACAAGACCACAAATAACCGCTAATGGAATAAATTATTGAAAAACCACATATAGCTGCCATACTACCTAATATAATGCATTATGTTCTAAAAGGAAACAAAAATGATTAGCAATACCTGCTCTCCTTTTTTATAGTTTCTTCTAGCATAGAAGCAATATGCAGAGACATTATCCTCATAGCCACCATCCGTTAATCTCAGTAAATTTGGATCAATCTGCTCTACATCAAATTGTTCTGTGGTGTCTCCATTCCATGAAAAATTTACTTGCATGGAAGAGGCATTTTTCCTACTACTTGAGTCTTCAGAGACAAAGGGGTCTTCAGAATCGAAGTCCTCCTCCCCAGGTGCAGCATAATTGAACAAGTCCCCCACAGGGCATAAACACCCAGCATTATCCCATGGTACATGCAATGTACGGGAGGATATCTTCAAGCATATGTTGAAATTATCAAATTCTAAAAGTTTGAAAATTAGATGGAAAGAATTGAGAATAACAATCATAGAAGCTATGAATTACGCCCAAAGATACTATCACTTCCAATAAGTAATAAAACAATGAATCAATCAATACAAAAATGACGTATTATTTTGAGCATTCCTTCAATCATTTAACTTAACGCATTAACTTTTTTCCTTAATGGTGTGAAACCCTTGATCAAAGCTAGATAAGTTTTAGCTCCATATGGCTGACTGACTCAGAAAACTGCATCAACACACCAATGGACAACACATTTTGCTGGGCATTATTTATAACAAAAAGCACCAAACGTACTTACACTTGCAGAAGCCCAAAGCCATGCCCTAAAAGTTAGGAGACGACGATTTAACTTTAGTTCTTTCATAAGGGAAATAGCTTCTTTCCAATCGAATTCAGCCTTCACTGTGGCCTTTTCTGCAGCCCAGATAGCATCATTCACCTGAAAATCATGTCAGATACTTGAGGAAAACATTTTCTTCTTTTCATTTTTAAAAGCAAGTAGCATCTTAAATAAATAACATTTGATATTAACAAAAGCACAATTACTATATTCAAGGAAAGAACAAATTTGTAATCCTGGAAAACAAACTTGGAAAGCTTGTGTCTCAAATTGACCAAAACATGGTAGCGTATCGTAACAGCGGGGTAACTGCATCAGGTAGGGATACCACCAAGAATCTTTCCCTTGCCCATTTCATATAACAAACAAACAGTCAATATCTGCATTTAGAAACAAAGAAGAAAAAGAAGAAATTTAGACAAGGGTAAGTATTCAAAATGGCAACAGAGACAACCAAATGAACTATCACTACCCCAATAAAATCCCTATTTGAAAAACTTTGACTTTTCTTTACAAAAGTTAGAATTTGAATGCTTTATCCTATAATTAGCTGAATAAAGACTCGGACTTTTTGATCCTCTGTTTATTAGGAACTACTAATTAGAAGATTAAGCAACTTCAAAGTATTCATTTCCTTTCTTCTTCTTCTTTGCTATAATCATCATTTACTCTGTAAAATTAGAATTAGATTTTTCAAATGATACAACCGAATACGTGAAACATGATATGTAACAACTAAGCAGGCTCAGCGAGTTGGTTGTAAAATTTTCTAGGAAACCAAACGGCGAATAAGGAAAAGATTAGTGAGAGTGTGAAACCTGAGTGGAGGAGAGAGAAGGGTGTTTATTGATGGAAAGAGAGAGTGGCTGGTCTTTGAGTAGAATTTGAGTGGTGATTAGGGCTGATTTTGGAACTCTGAGGATCAATTCGCCTTTTCTAAGATCACGGATAGCTGCTAAGCCTCTCCTGCACCATACACATCCAATCACACATGAACATATATACACATAGATATAGATATAGATATGATTGAGAATTTGAGATAGAAGATTGGGAATTATTAGATATACCCGCCAGAGTCAGGGAATTGTGAGACGGAGAGAGATTGACCGAGACAGGAGGAGGAGGAGGAGGAGGGAGGGCGGTTTGACGATGGAGAGTCTGATATTCCGATCTCTGCAGCCCATTTCAGCAAGCTTTCTAGGCTTCCTTCTTCTTCTTCTTCTTCCATATCTCTCTCTGTCTCTCTGTGTTCTGCTTTTTCACAGTCGTGAAATTGCACTTCGACATTGGTTTTTTTTTTTATAAGACTGAGGCCTCGTTTGGCAAGAGGCTATTTTAGTCAATTAGTCAAAAAGTTACTAAATTAGCCAAAAAGCCAACAATTTATACCAAAAAGTCAAAGATTCTCTTTTCTCTCTAATTTTTGCACATTAATTAGCCAAAAAGTCATCCCAAACATACAAGTTTTTTTTACCTACTTTTTTAGCCAAATAGCCAAAAAGTTACTAAATTAGCCTGTTCCCAAACGAGGCCTGAGCTAAGAATCCGTGCAATTCGTAACCTAATCCTGTTTAGTTCATTCCAATTTAATTTAGTAGGTTTGAATTGGTTTTTAAATTTGTAATTCGGTTTTGATTAAAAAATTAAAATTTCGTAGTTATTTTAGATTGAATTCTATGATTTTGGATTGAAATCGATCCGGACCGTATATAAATAATTTATATTTTTATCATACACCCTCCTCCATAATATCTTCTCTTATTTCATATAAAACTTAGGCCAAGTTTGGCTAACCTAAAAAAGTGCGCTTATTTTATCTTTTTATCTTTTTTGGGTCACATCAATTAACATCTCCTCTTTACTTTTTTTATACATAATATAAAAAAAAGTCAAAAAGTGCACTTATTTAGTCTTCTCAAACTTGGCCTTAAATTCAAACCTAAATTCGCATAATATCTTTTTTTATTACTTTTGTTTGCTAGTTTTTAGCGTTAATTTATAATGGTCTAAATACTTATAATAGAACCAGTTTTCTTATGATTGTTTAAATTTTAAAACAATATGTCGCTATTATGAAAAGACATATTATTATTGCGAAACTAATATGGTATTATATTTATATTTTTGTGAAATTAAAGTGTTATATATATTTTTTTTGTTATTTAATTATGTAAATCCGTGATCCTAAACCGATCCAATCCGTATTTAAATAAATTGGTTCGAATTGATTCCACGATTTAAACGGATTGGATTAGTTTTAATTTTTTAAAAACCGTAGATAACGGATTGATCACAATTTTATCACAATCCAATCCAATCCAATTCAGACCATACTCACCCCTATTTTTTTTTTTCTTCATATATTTCCCATTTTAGCTGATTCAGCAATTTCTCAACTTTCAGTGACCGACCACAAAATATGTGTTGTGTTTAATTTTAAATTTTTTAAATAGATTTAAAAGTTCTGTATTTATTTGTCTTCCTCTTTTCATATTTTTTTGTTTTCTCTTTTTCTCATATCGACGACAATTACAATTATATTTTCCTTCTTTCGTTTCTCTTTCTAATCTATAGTCACCGACAACCAATGACTACTATTGATTAGGGTTCATTGACAACCACCGGGTATCGACTCATTACTTCGGGCTCATCAACAACGAAAGAGATGAGTTTCTGACAAAGAAAATGAGTAAATATACTTAGATTTGTTGTAAATATCAAATATCTACATCACAGCTAAGTAGATCTATGTTAGATCCGGCTAGATCTAAACCAAAAATAGTTACCGAAGTACATGTCTCTCTCTACATTTGTCTTTTTCCTTCGATCTCTCAATTTTTTTTTTATTTTTCTATACTGTACACTTCTATTTTCCTGTTATAATGGAGAAAATTTTCAATTTTTGAATAAGTTGTTTTCAAGTTTTAATTACAGACGGTAAAAACTGTAAAATTTTACAGTTTCAATTTTTTTTGTGCTTAAATGAATTATTCTTTAGAACTGTAAAATTTTACAGTTTCATAACATGTTTTTCAGTTTGATTAATAAGGATAAATGCTTAATAGAATTATATTTTAAAACTATAACATTTTACAGTTTCAAAACTTACTTTTCATTTTAATTAATACTAGCACAGGTATAAATAAAATAATCAAAAATTAATTTTAAAATTAAATAATCATCTAAAAAATTTATCTACAATATTTAGCAAATATGATTTAAAATCAATTAAATTTTATTCATTTTTATCACAGTTACATATAAGAGATTTTTTTTTTAAAATTCTTGTGTCATTAATTGTGTGCTCTAAGTTCTTAATAACAAATATATGTCATAATTTAAGTAGTAAAAATTAAAAAATAAATCACAAAAGTTATATTTATTATAAAATATAAATACATTTTGTCTTATGAGTTTCGTAAATTTAATTTATGATATGATAGTGGTAAATAACATTTGTCAATATAGTAATTGTTTCATGTTTTGTGAAGTCTGAAAAATAATTTGTCTTATGTTATATGTAACAATCCGAAAATTTAAGGTAGTGTTTGGTAGAGTTTTAGAATTATGATTTGAGAATAGAGTTGTATTTTGAGTTTGTGAATTTTTGAATTGTGATTTGAGTATGAAAAATTTGTTTGGTTATGAGTTTTGAAAAGGGTTTTAAAATGAGTTTGAATTGAATGATGTGACATATGATATTTGATACAAAAATTTACAACTCATAACCAAACACACAACCCAAAATTCTATTCAAAACTCATAAAAAAAATTTTAAAAAAATTCACAAATATTTTTTTTTTGTAATATAAAAATAATAGGTGCAAAAAAAAAAAAAAATTTCTCTTATAATATGAGCAACTTATTTACTCTAATAGAAAGTATTATATTGTATCTATTTTAAGCTTGAAGCTTATCCACGGTAATTATGCTCTCAGTATAATATTTAGCTGTTTACTAATTTTTAGGAAACAATGCGATTCAGAAATAGTTTTTGGAGAGTCTTAGACGTGGGGCTGCAGAATAGACACACATAGCACTTTTGTAGTATTTATAATTCTATTCTTCATATGTAAATATTGGCCTTTGTGGCCAATAAATTTTGTAATAAAAGTAGAAGTTTCGATGATTATTTTGATACTCTCACTTAAATATTATTTCTACTCGCATTTATTTATTTGTTCAAGAATAGGCCATAGGTAACTTCAGTTATTGGTCATCACGATACTTAACCCTTGGGTAAGGGGAGCGGGTTGTGACATTATAAGATTTACTTATAAATAAATTACGATTCACTTGTGATATTAAATTTGGGTTTAACATTAGATTTACGCGAACTTGTCCTTCGCCTAAACATTAAAAATTGTCTTGTTATGTTCCAACTTATATGAATCATTTGACCTATATATTTATTAAATTAGTAAATAAATATTTGTAAATATTTTTTATAATAAAAATAAGAAATATGGACTTAATTTATGCATACTTATTAAAAAGTTTGAACTATAGTTTAAAAAAAAAAAACTATATATTTATGTTTAAAATAATTAAATGAATAGTTATTATATATATATTTATGTATTAAAAAATTATTTAAGTTAAAGCCACCCTAAATTGTAGGTCATATTCTATTCCTAATAAATTTAAATTATATCATAGTTTATTAGTTCGTGACTGATGAGTTAATTTGGGATTCTAATATTGGATTAAACATTAAAAAGTAGTCAAGAAAATTTAATTCAAGTCGATTTTGTTTGCCAATAATTCTTTATTTAAGCCTAGTCCTTAGAGAATCGCCTAGTTTATGTCCAATTTATAAATTAATAGACTAACCTATTTATTTAATTTTTAATTAGTAAATATATTTTTTTTAAAAATTATAACAAAAATAGGAAATATGTACATATTTGTTTGGTGTATTTATTAACAATTTCAAGATTAATTAAGAAATTATGTACTTATTCTTAAAAGGATAAATTACATTGGTAATCTCTATATTTTAACTCTTGTGTTATTTTTGTCCTTACAATTTTAATTTGCTCAATTTTGACCATAAATTTATAATTTTGTCTCAATTTGGTCCAATTGTTATAATTACTAGTGCTTCTTTTTTTTTATTGAAAATAAACACATGAGTAGCATCTGTTATACTTTTATAGACAAAATTATAAACTTGTTCAATTCAATAAGTTAATCTCAACCAACTCAATAACTATTTTCTTTCAAAAATACTAATCGACATTATCAATTGGACCAAATTAATACAAAATCTAAAATTACGGGTAAAAATTAAATTAATTAAAATTACAGAGACCAAATTGACACGAGAGACTAGGAATGGCCACGGGGTGGGGCGGGGCGGGGCCGGGGATCACCCTCCCCGTCCTCGATCCCCGATTGTGAAAATCTCCTCGGCCCCGGCCCCGATCCCCGACGGGGAACCTACCACCCTCCCCATCCCCGCCCCCTACCGGGGATCGGGTTTTCCCGACCCCAAAAATTCCCCGCCCCCAAATCTGTTTCAACACCCCCATCATCATCAACAACAACAACAGAATCATCATCATCGACAACGTAGAAACAATGCAATTCAGAAATAGCTTTTGGAGAGTTTTAGATGCAACACATAGCATTTTTATAGTATATATAATTCCATTCTTCATATGTAAATATCAGCCTTTTGGCTAATAAATTTTGTTATGAAAGTAGAAGTTTCGATGATTATTTTGGTACCTTCACTTAAATATTATTTCCACTCGCGTTTATTTATTTGTTCAAGAATTGGCCGTAGGTAACTTCAGTAAAGGAAGAGTAGGGAGGGAGCTCAGATGAAAATTAGGAATTGATATTAAGGTGAGTTATATTATACTTTGGGTCACCATAAAATTTTTATGTATATCTTAAGATACCATGGTTTATTTGATGCAACTCATATTCATAAATTATGCTAATGTTTCAATTACGTCAATTATTTTATGAACTCATTTTGTTTAAATTAAAACTCATGGATATAATGTGACAATGATTATTTAAATATTTATTTTGTAAGTACGACTATGAGAGTCTCATGCCTTGGAAGACTTAAATAATCATTGGCCTATGATTAGTCACTTTAGTGACCTTTTGTTGTCATGAATCTATTGACCTCTATTTTGTATAGAGCAAAGTGTTGTACGGAGCTAAATGCTACACTATTGTGGGTGCCACTTCTAGAATCCGTACGAGTCACCTCTTGAATCCATACCTCTGTATTGTCATGAATCTACTGACCTCTGTTCTGTTTTACA